TTTAAAAAAAAAAAAAAAAGGTAACTAATTGGACTGTCTTCTGTCCCACGTTCTATGTTCTAGAACTGAGTGGCCACCTTCTAAAGACCGTCTATATGTCCTTTGGTGGACCTGGGTTTTACAGTCACAAGCTTCTTTCACATACAAATGCCACGCTCAGAGCTGATGTGGAATAATAAAGTGGGAGGAAATCTGGGTGATCGTTTGGCAAGATGCTATGAGTGGTCTAGCCTAGAGTTGATAAAAAGAGACAGGTAATGGTTGGGCTAGTGCTTTGGTGCCTCCATTAGGAATATCATCCATGGTGTTGAAGTCTTGCTTTTGACACTGTCTTGCCTACTCCTCCCACAACATTGTGCTGGGTCACAGAGAATATCTGTGAACCCCGCTTTACAGAGAGGGACACCGCTTCTTTCTCATTCAACTCTAATGTGTTAGCAGCTGGGGTCTAAGATGCCCGGGACTCTCAGTAACATGCCCTAGCGGGGTCTCCATCCGTGATCCTATCTTTGTCTGCCAGGCTCGCTTTGCTCTTGCTTTGCTTGGTCAGAACTGGACAGCGCCTCCCTGTGGACGCAAGTTGTCGGGAGCAGGGAGCAATACAAGCAAAGCTGTCTTTGGTGATCAGAATCACCTTCTCCTTCCTTTTACAACACGCCCTTCAGTCTTCTCAAATAGTGTGGCCATTTTAGTTCTGTCTCTTCCTTTAGACTGTGAGCCCTTTGGGTGAATATTCAGGTTGGTGTCATTTTTTTTTTTTTTTTAATATCTCCTTTTAATTGCCCCCAATAACCCTCATCACTAGGTGCACAATCAACACTGTGGCTGCTCCGTTTGCCACCCACAGCTGCCAACAGACATTGCCTGTACTTATTAACTGTGTCAACTTTTTTTTTTTCCTTTCAGTAAATAAAGGCTTAGCTGTCGTCACTCGGAGTTTTCCTCCTCCTAATTTTTTCCCTGAAGTTACCCTGAAAGAGAGGCCTTTAAAATGCAAAGGATTATGCTTAAATTGTGCAGTGTACTCAAGCTGGGGACTAATTAGAAGGTTTGGAAACCTCTTCAGGTGGCTGGGATCTGTAGTCGGACTAAAATACTGCTTTCCTAAATTGAGAACAGCTGGGGCCGTGTTGCCCGCAAGTATAAAGAGTCGGTGCTGGTGCTCTGGGCTGTGAAGAAGCCTTTGCTCTTTGGAGCCTCTGGAGCTTCGGCTAAAGGCACCCTTTTCTCACCGGGTTCGTGGTGGGTAAGTGCCCCGAGCTGGTCCTCTCGGTGCCAGTTTCTGTTATTTGCCAGAAATTGTGGGGCTGCATCAAAATGTTACTAATTTACCATGTCAGTTGTAGTAAATTACATTATCCTTCAAGAAACAAGTAGAGTTTGTTACCTCGATAAGACATAGCTAAGGCTTTGTGTGCCTAAGCTTTGTGTTATTTTGAAGGCTATCAGCTTTCCTGGTGGATGGTGTGCCTCTCTATGTAAAAGGGTAAACTGAGGCAGTGTCATTTAGTTCTTGAATACATTCTGAAGAGTGGTCACTTAAAAAGATTCCAGGTTTTTTAATTATTTATTTAATCCTCACTTGAGGGTATTTTTACTGATTTGAGAGCGAGGGGAAGGGGGAAAGAGAGAGAGGAACAACAATGTGAGAGAGAAACATCAATTGGTTGCCTCTTGTACTCACGCTGACTGGGGATCGAACCCACAACCTAGGTATGTGCTCTGATCGGGAATATCGAATCCACAACCTTTTGGTGCATGGGACAACGCTTGAACCAACTGGGCCACCCGGCCAGGGCAAGATTCCAGAAAATAGAAAGTTGACTTTTTGACACACAGAGGGCAACAATTTCTGTAAGGCTCGTGGAAAAGATGCAGCCTTAGGAAGGAGTGATGTGGTCTGGGGAGGTTCTAGCTGATTGTGACTTCATGGTTAGCAACAGGTAACAGTGCCTGATTTCTATTTAAAGAAATTTAAAAGGAATTGATTATTAAAATGTTCCTATTTATACTGACATCAGCTCAAAAAGAGAAGAATTCCAAGATAAAACAATTCAATATTTTCTAAATAAACTCGTCTCAGCAGCTATGGCTATGTTCTGACGATATATTTATAAAGCAAATGGCTTTGGTATTTGTTTCCGTATTTTGATAATGTCTGTTTTGGATGGTTGACAGTTGGACCGGCATGATTTCTGAACGTGGTTTTGTTTTGTTTTCACAGGTGTCATAGTAAAATCTTTGGGGAAAAGAGAATTGGCCTGCTTCCCTGAGAGTGGTAGATGTGCAGGGGAGAGCTGCATGGGAGGACCAGTCATCCGGTGGCTACTTTCTACGTTTTACAGCAGGAAGCAGAGCCAGTTGAAGAGTCCATGTTGATCTTGGAAATAGAAGGATTTAAAAACATTTCTACAAAGAACTTTATCATCTCCTTTTTGATCTGAAGATTGGGGGACCATGGATATCATAGAGACAGCAAAACTTGAAGAACACATGGAAAATCAGACCACCGATCCGGCAAACACGTACACCAGGCCTGCCGAACCTGCCGAAGAGGAAGAAAAAAATGGCAACGGTAAACCCAAGAGCTTATCCAACGGGCTGCGGAAGGGCACCAAGAAGTACCCCGACTACATCCAGATCGCTATGCCCACCGACTCGAGGAGCAAGTTCCCCCTGGAGTGGTGGAAAACGGGCGTCGCGTTTGTGTACGCGCTTTTCAACCTCGTCTTGACCACCGTCATGATCACCGTGGTACACGAGAGGGTCCCTCCCAAGGAGCTCAGCCCTCCACTCCCAGACAAGTTTTTTGATTATATTGATCGGGTGAAATGGGCATTTTCTGTATCAGAAATAAATGGGATTATATTAGTTGGATTATGGATCACGCAGTGGCTGTTTCTGAGATACAAGTAAGTAGATCTAACACGGTTTTCTGGGGGGGAGGCGGAGAATGGGGTTGCCACTAGTTTGTATTTAAGTGAGTCGATGTGTACTTGGAACTGTCTTTTTTGGTTTCATCTCATAAATTCAGTCTTATCCAGGCATTTGATGAAAGGAAGCTATAGAAAGGTCTGCCACGTTGGATAAAGCCAGTCGCTGTTCAGTTAAGCATTTATGAAGCAGCTGTGCGGGAAAGTGACAGCGATGTAGGAAAGAGCAGAAGTGCTGTGGTGGGTGACTCAGAGTTTGTGAATTTAAGGTGCAATTCCAACTTCCAGCAACTTGGTGCTATGGTATTTGCATGATAAATCGAGTCCTGGAGAGGAAATAATTCACTGCATCATGCTTGTTATTGCAGGCTCTTGACAGGTGGGGCAAGGGGTGGGCTGGGAGCTTTTTTCTCCATTACTCACAATGCGATGACTATATTAGTCTGTAGACCTTAGCCTGCATAGAGCTTTGCTTCTGTTCAGGAGTTCTCAAGTTTTCCATTTCTTTTCCTTTGGCCTTATTGGCAGTCAAGTCAATACGAATCCGTTTCAGAAACTGAATTGAGAAGTGGGTCCACGCGGTTTCGGTTTTAGATTTCTAAAGTAAACGTACCCTACCATCTGGCTTCCACAGCACCACAAAGGAGCTCTTAGTTCGCTGGTTTCGGTCTCCCTGTTTGGGAGCAGCAGGAATCAGGAGGTACTAAGCCAGGTACTTTTGCTTTGAAGACACTTAAAAATAGGACATAGCTCTGAAGTGGTTGTTTTTGCCTTCCTGTTAATTCCATAAAAAATAAAGCCCCTCTACTTCCCTTCTCATCTTATTCATCATTTAGATATTTGTTCTTTACTAAGATTCTAGTAAATAAATAACTAAAATATGGGTTTGATCAAGACATTGGCCATAAACTGAGACTGTGGAAAATGCAATGTGCGCCGATTTCTCCAGTGCAATTCAACAATCCAGAGTTCAGTAGGATTTTAATACTGATGCCACAAGATCACTTTCAGTTGGTTGTTGCTTTGCGATTAGAAGAATTCAATCTCTCTTTGCCAGATGGCCCCCTACATGCAAGTTTGCAGTTCTGAAAACTTAGTCCACAAACAAGTCGTTCCTAAGTGTCTCTCTCAATGTTTCCTTAATACGTGTAAGTAAATTTTCTTTTACTTAGTAGAACTTTTTGCTGCTAAAGTTGTCAGTTATGGAATGCTTATGCTAAAGGTAAACTGTGTTTGTTGAACTTTAGCACTTTTCTTTTTCTTTAATTTATCTTTATTGTTGAAGTATTAAACAATACTTCCCCCCCCATTGACCCCCTCTACCCCACTCCAGCATCC